AACAACAACAACAACAACATCAAGTTTGAAATCTACGGTCAAAATATTCTACTTGGGAGGGCCTGGGGAGCACCATGCAAAGTGAACAACTCAGTCCCATAAGGACAAATACTGTGTAAGACCCTTATTGTAGAACATGTATGAGGATCCAAGGTTGAAAGGGGGGAAGCAAAGGGAGGTTTAATCATAAGGTTCCACAGTTTGATGGATAGAGAGAAGGGTGGCTAAAGGAAATAGGAATGGTCTGGTGTGAAAAACAATGTATACATATTTTACAAGTAAACCTGTATAAAATAAAAATTTTCTTTTTTAAAAAAAAACAATGAGAAGGATTCTAGATTCCATATTTTCTATTCACTCAGTCTGAAGAACAGTGACTATTTTTTACTTTTTCTTTAAGAACAGTGACTCATTTTTTAAATTTTATTTTATTATTTTTTGTGTGTGTACTGTCAATTCAGATCTGACTGGTACAGGAAGAGATTGCTCCTCCTTCTCCAGCAGAGCATCTGGTGGATTTGAATCACGCGCCTCTGGGATTGCAGTGTAACTTTTTGCCACTAGGCCACCAGACCTCCCTAAGAACCGTGATGCTTAAAGAACCTACTGCAGTCAAGTCAATTCTGACTCATGGAAACTCTCCAAAGGATTTCAAAGACTATAAATCTTTCTGACTCAGAGTGTCTGGTGGATTCAACAGAAGTCCTTTTTGGTTAGGAGCCCAACACACAAAGTACTATGTCATGGGAGTTCCTTGAATTTTTAAATTTTTTTTTTTATTATGCAGATTTCCCCTCCATACTTTCCTTCATTGACATCATACATCATACAATCATTCCCATACTTTGCATTTTATAAAATTAATCACCACTGGATTATGCTCACCATTACCCTGTCATTTCAGGTCCCCGCCAGATCTTTCCCATTTCTTTGCCCTTGCTGTCCACCTACCAAACTGTACAACCTGTGGTATTGCCCCTACCCGACCTTACCCTTCAGCTCCCACCCCTTTCCCCCAGAATCCCTATACATATTTTACTAGTCATCCTTCTATTTTTATAATAATAGTCTTGTGCAGCATTTGTCCTTATGAGACTGAGTTAGTTCACTTCTCCAATCTTTCCCAAGTTACATAGTATTTTTTTTAAATCATTGCTCCTCAGTGCTGCATAGTACTCCTTTACTCTTAAAGATTAATATAAAATGCCTGAATAGCTTATTAACATAAAGATTCTTGGGTCCATACACAATTTTTATAATCTGAGTCTCTGGAGATGAGTCCCAAGAATTTGAATGCTAAATGAGTTCAAGTCCTTACAAACTATACCAACACAACTCTTCATGCAAATAAATATACTATTTCCTGAACTCTTAATGGGAATTTTTCATGCTCCTATGACCTTTTCATTTGCTTGCTGTTCTAATAGTCAGGCAAAACACCCCTACTTCCCCATGACCTATTCTAGGATCCTACAAGCTATTCCTTGGAGAAGGACATCATGCTTAGAAAGGTCAGCAAAAAAGAAAAACCCTCAATGAGATGGACTGATACAGGGAGTGCAGCAATGGGCTCAAGTGTGTCACAGATGATGAGGATGGGACAGGACAGGCCAGAGTTCAGATCTTTTGTTCACAGGGTCGCTGTGAGTAGCATTCTACTTGATGGTATCTAACAACAATGGAAGTATTAAAAGAAGATGGAAGGAATAAACTGGGTCATTGTATCAAAAGGAATTGGCAGATACAGAAGAATTTAATGAAATAACATATGAGCAAGAGCCTATGGTGATGAAGGAAGAAGTTCAAGCTGCTTTGAAGGAAA